GAGTGTAGCAGCGACGGCAAGACCTCCTCTCTCTCCTCTCTTCTCTTGTCCTCTCTCCTTATCTGCTTTCTTTTTCTCTTGTCTCTTTCGTGCGTGTGAATCTCACTCTTTCTCTCTCTCTCTCCTCTCCTCTCTCTCTCGCTCTCCCTCTCTCTCTTTCTTTTCCTCCTTTGTTCTCTTTCTTTCTTCTTTCTTTCTCTTCTTTCTTTCTCTCTTATCTCGTCTCTCTTTCTCTCTCTCCCTCTCCCTCTCCTCTTCTCCCTCCCTCTCTCTCCCCTCTCTCTCTCCCTCTCTTCCCTCTACTCCATCAGGCGCTCCCTGTTCCACTCACGTCTCGTACCTAGCCCCTGATTGCACAGCCAGCTACTCTGTGCTGCCGCGGGGCGAGTCGGCGTGCGTCTCGTGTGCCCTCTCTCTCTCCCTCTCTCCTCCCTCTCTCGCTACCTGTCCGCTTTGACGGGTATGCATCCTCCACTCGGTGCCGCCGCCGTGCCACCGTCTCGTCCTGCCCTCTGCCTGCATACCAAACCCAGCGCGCCACTCCCGGCGTATGTCTGCCGCCTCAACGCGACTGAGCAGGCAGCGCTCTGCGGCCGCTTCCCTGAGCGCACCAGCGGCACTAACTTCCTCCGGCCGGGCTTGCTCATTGCACGCCAGCCCGCACGCCGCGCCTCGGCCGTACGCGCTGCCGGATCAGCTGAGCATCAACCTCAAAGATTCGTGTTTTTTTTTTTTTTTCCAAAGCGAGCTACTTTGGCGCACCAATTTTTTTTTGCTTACACTCTTTTCCGTTTGTTACTGGAAGGCAGACAAAATATCGATTTAATGTTTGAATCTGAGATACAAATCTACTTCTAGATTTTTTTTGAATTGTGGCTCACGCAGTTTTTGCAACTTAGGGTAAACTTTCTACCAAGCACCACTGAATGGTGGAAAGAGAAGGGTGAGGTACCCCGGTGTACCGGTACAACGATTTTTGCCTTCAAAAACTATATTTGAAAAGTCAAAACAAATAATTAATATAAAAATGTAGTTTGTTAGGTAAAGGTACTGGCATTCTCAATTGGATGTAGCCTCAGTGGCATTCTATGGAACAGCGAGATCCCATTGGGACGCAGAGACTATCAAATTCGACCCATGAAAGCCTGTTTACCCGAGAATCCGTTTCCTCTCAGTGTGGAGATTAGGACTTTTCCGTTAGTAAGGTTGGAAGCATGAAACTACATCGTTCGTAATTGTCCGCTCAGTCACGTGACTTTTTTACAAAACATTTCAGGCTACAAACACTTGATGAATGGCATGTTCTGTAGCAGGTTAACATTATTACATGAGATTGTATACATTTCTCTCTCTCTCTCTCTCAATGCGTAGATTTTTCAATTTTTGTATGGTAAGTTTTTAATACAAACTTCTTAGGCGGAATGTTTTTGGCAACAAAAATCGAGAGCGAGAGCTATTTTTAGGCGTAAATGGGCTTCTCTGAAGCTACATTGATTACCCTTACAATTGTTTTCCTAAGTTAAATTTGCAACTCCATCGACGATACACGCAAAGAATTTTTAGTTTTACTGATATAAGAAATTGGTCAGCTCGTGTTTACAGGTTCATCCAGTTTATAAAATATCAATTTCGCTATGTAAGCACTTTGAAATGTATTCTTACTAAAAACTTCACGATTATAATTCTGTTAATCTTTTTTCCGTAATTTTCTCGAGATCAAAACTATTTTCTTCGAAACCGAAACTCGAGAAAGTGTCAATAAAAATTAGGAACTGGATACGAAGTAGACTGAACGTCAGATGTAAAAAATCACACTTTCCAGAATCTGGCAGGTCATTTATTTGTGAAGTAACAGATAGTATATACAAAGAAAACAAGAAACAAACAAAAACAAAAGAAGACGGCGCCCTGCACGTGGAAGAGATGTCGTTACGTCAAATGTAAAAATCACATTTTCCAGAATCGGGCAGGTCATTTATTTGTGAAGTAACAGATAATGTATGCAAAGAAAACGAGACACAAACAAAAACAAAAGAAGACGGCACCCTGCACGTGGAAGAGAGCATTCCTCAAGAGAGAACCAGCTGGCCTTGGAATTTAAAGATGGGTCCATTGCGTCACCAAGGGCACAGGCATTTATCGGTTACATGCACCAAATAAGAAAGCCCAGCAGACTACAGTCACACACCAAGCATTTCTTTCTTCAACCAGTTGACTGTGAATCAGTTACCATGTGTATGAATTTCTTCTAAGTCACCTATTATTTGAATTTACGTTTATAATAAACGATAGTATTTTTTGTGCATTCACTTCTTAAAATATATTCCATTAATCTTCAATAAGTACTCCAAAAAGGGCGCAAGGTAGATTACATACATCGAACTCTGCAAATGTTGTAAATTTATATCCCAACGTATTGTATTAATGATGATAATAATTACACTCGGTAAATAAGAAAGTCCACATTGTACAAAATGCTCTCATATGTCAATGATTTTATATCGAAGGTAAATTAGAATATTGACAGTTTCGCACATTTAAAAACTACGTTATGCAATAAAGTATACAATTATGTAAATTCTGTACTTAACAATAGTAATACTTGAAGCACAGAAATAAGCCTATCGTGGACAAATTATACGTACTTTGTACACAATAAAATACATTAAAATAGAAATAAAATAAGAACTTTTGTACCTTCTCTTATAATTTTTGAAGGATTGATTTTCTCAATACAACATCCCCTCCTCTTATCACAAATAGTAGGAAAAGTGAAAAATCATGAAATGTATGTCAAGTTAAATTGCACTTCAAATTTATGCTTGACGATCTATTGATGCATCGATGCTTGGTAGTCTGTGTTATTTAATCGCACGGGAATAACGCTATTTTTGAAAAACGTTTATCAATATTGGAATGTTTGTCTACGCTTAATTCCGAGACTACAATGTTGAGCGGACAGTTCCGATTATGACACTCGTAGTAACCGAGTAATTATACTCGTGTCTACTTGTATGACAAAACAGGCCGACTAAATGTTTTAGTATATTAACAAGTGCGAAGAGTATTATACGTACAAGTATGAAGTGCATTATACGTGCAACAATACATTTTTTTTGGGGGGGGGAGGATTTCAATTTAATATTTGGACAGGTACGTATGCAATACTAATTCATGTTACTATTCGTAAATATGTGGTATGAATTATTAAAACATTTTTTAATTATATATTGCAGAATTTTTAATTTTATCATTTTTTCCAAAATTATTTAAAAGCAATGTCAAAAATTTTATAATAATTTGTATACCTTCATCGAAGTTTCTATATATCGATTACTATCGAAGGAACAGAACAATTCGATATACGTTGGTCCGTCTGTATTATAATTATTATTTTTACTATTATTATTATTATTATTATTTGCTAGCGAATAGGCCATCTTGGACCACACGTGCAATTAACCCTACATTTACCGCGGCTCAATGACATTATCTCTGTGGCAGATGCATGTAATTTTATCATGCGATCGGAGCATTTAGCTAGATCCGATTTTTATCCCCCAGGGTTATTAATCCTGAATGTATAGAAGATGAAACGATAATGATAGCGAGGGGTGAAAGAACAGCACACACATACAGACACATCTCATCCATATCCGAGGCGGAACGCGAACCCGCGATCTTCTGGTCTGGGACCGCTATGACACTTCTGCCTTAGCGACTTCCGCCATCTGATGGGCGTATTATTATTATTATTATTATTATTATTATTATTATTATTATTATTATT